TATGTCCATAAATTAAGACAACAAAGTTGCTCTTTATTTCTCAATCAGTAATTAAACCTGCGAACCTGAATATGCATGCAATGCTGCATTACTCTGAAAAAAACTGCAAGTCAAAAATGACCAAATTCTACATACACAGTATATAGGTTTTGTTTCTAGCTTACTGGCCATCGTGTTTTTCCAAGGGCACCGGGGACTACCCCCCTACCTTTGAAAAGCCTCTTTGAAACTGCAATATTCCGATTCATGGCCATCGCTTACCGTCAGCGAGGATTTGTCACCGTTCAGCTGGCTGTCATCTCTCGATTTCACATACCGCCTGTGATTCTGGTAGAAGTTGGAAAGCCCGTAGTACATGAAGACATTGCTCTGGAGGGAAGCAGATTTCAACAAGTGGAGTCTCGCTGCACACGAGGGTATACAACAGACAGATTTACCCAGCCATTCAAGTCGGTGGGCTATGTGAGATCACACCCCGACGTCCTACAATATCCCCTGCTTCAGCTGAAGAGTTTACAGAGAAGGGTTACCACACAGGAAGAGGTCATTCGGCCTATCCAGGCTCCAAGGATCTCAACCAACATTTATAGTTCCCAAGAGTAATATAACTTTTCTCCACTGCTGTTCAGGGAGATGTTGTCTCAAATATCCTTAAATGAATGTGGTGCTCTGTTCCCTCCACATGTTCTAAAACAAATCTGTATCATTTTCAATTTTTTATACCAATCCTTATTATTTATTAAAATCATATCTTAAGAACTGTTTCTGTAATATTTGCACACATTCATTTTAACAAACCTTATTTAAAAATTCCTTTTGCATTGTTTTTTTTTGTTTACATTTCAAGTGACTGAAGCGGTCCAGGATTGGATGTAAAATCAGCACGTCTTGGGTGAGCCTAGTTGCTTCGGTTTTCAAAATGTTAAGGTTTTTTTTTTTTTTAAGATTGTTGTCAAACAATGCAGGGATGGTTCCTCAAATATCACTTCAAAAATCATGAATTAATTTCCTATTCAAAACAATCCTTCATTTGTATGTCAAAGCTCCCTAAATCCAGCCTCATTTGCTCACTCTAATGCCTGCCCAAGGTAAAGCATTTTCCAATACACAAGGCTGGCTTTAAGAATAGCAACACTCAATGCAGAAAACAAGGCTGAACGTTGTATTTAATCGCTCTGGGCTTACATCACCATTCAACTGAAGTTAAAGTCTTGTGATACATTTACACATTGAAGATAGCATAAAAATCTTTAGAAACTCAAAATCTGCGTTACGAGTTAAGCTGCCATAAAAAGAAAGAATTCCAGTTTAACCGGCTTCAACTGAGCCTTCAGAAACGTATTTGATCAAAGGGATTTTTCTGGTTTACTCCAAATTAACAGGATAAAACGTCAGGGGGAAAGTACGGGGGAGATAGTGGAAGAGGGGGTAGAGAGAGAGGCGGAGAGAAGAAACACTATCAGCCTCCTCTTCCTCTAAACAAGGTGAGGACCTTGTTCTCATCAGTCTTGGACACCAGCTACTGGCTAAGTAATGCAAAGCCTGTTTTCAGACAGCTTACTGTCCTATTTATTTTTAAAATTCTGAATTTCTTTATTGTGGATACCCAGGCTAAAGATGATCTCTTCTAGTTATGGTGAAACATTGTTTGAATGGGAAGACAGAGTCCCCTTAATTTGGGGCCATCCATGTTGTAGGACGGCAGATTTAGTGCTGGGTCATACTCTTATTCGGGACACACGTTTCATCACTCCTGCTGGCCAGTCAAGCTGTTACGTAGGATGTCAGACTAAAGGGCTAGCTTTGTGTTTCTGGGTCTATAGAACATAGGTCTCTGAGACATGCTGATTTACATATAGTGAAACCTTTAATGTTTTAGTTAGGCTGTATGTTTTGTGTTTGTTATTCAGTGTGGCCAATAAATATTTGTCTGCTCATGGTTACCTCTGAATTATTACCAGAGCTGTACCAGAGAACGCACGTGACCAGATTAGACCTACTACTCAGATTTGATTATCTGATTTTGCACTCTCTTGTCCTGACCATCCCTAGTCTGTAACATCTGCATTAGATTTAAAGATATCAGACGCTGTGTATCTAAATAGATTTACAATGACCGTCTTTCAGTTTAGCAATCCACAAAACACTGTAATAAAACATCCTTTAATCTAAAGAACTTGTGTCGATTTAGTAGTTTTGACCTGTTTAACTACCCAAAGCATGTTAGAGCTTAATCATTTATAACATGTTCTTTAGCTTTAAATACTAATATAACAGCTGGGAGGCACAAAAACTTGATAACATGTTGTCAGAAAATGAGGATTTAGACAATTTACAGAACAAGCTACTAATGACCGTCTGAGATAGGCGTCTGAGATAGGCTTAACAACCTCGTTAATAAACTTTTCTTGTGTTAAACATTCCCCACTTTTTATTTTCAAGGCTAGATACACTTAGTCACAGTGAGAGACATGCAAGTGATTTGAGGTGGTTTAAAGTTTGCAGTCAATTAACATACACAATGGAGAGTTAACTGATTATCACCTCCTCTGCACCCAGAAAGCAATTAACAGGTATCAAAGGTAGCATAAATAAAACAATTAACATTTAAAAAGTAAATGCTTCTTGCGGTATTTGGGTTTAGCAAACACATAAATATTAAAAAGTACCAAGCTTATGTATAATTAAAAGCTGTCACAGATGATGCATCTTCCAGCAGGCTTGACTCATTAATCTCACTGTGACTGGGTTTCCAATAAAAATACTCTGCATTAAGACAGAATGAAAAACTGAAAAGAAAGAAAACTTTTGGGCTCCTAGAATGCACTATTTTCACATACAGCTAATAATTACACGACTGGGTTAATTTCAACCAATGGAAAATTCAAAGGTGAATGTTTTTCATGAATCAAACAAAAGTCATCCATTTGTGTCTCAGGTGGATCTTGTGCGCATCACTTCCAGACCTAAAATTCCATTGCATGAATTATTCATTGAGAAATAACTCTGATTCATGAGTGCTGCTGGGCTTTGGACATTGTGAGCACGGTTAATAGCAGCGCAAGCAGATGAGAACCTGGAAGCTCATCTGAAAAGGCACCTCAGATGCTGTCCGAACAATTGACATTTAATCACTAAATGTAAGCCAATACATATTCTGACAGGACATACGTTTTAAACATATTCCAGCCAACTACTAGTAATTATTCTCTCAGTGCTCATGCACAGGAATTCCTTAAGGAGAAATTAGTTATTTCTCAAAAAATATACCAATTTAAGGGTGACACAGCAGTTCAGCAGTTAGCACTGTTGCCTTGCACTGCTGGAGCTTGGGTTCGACAAGATCTGTGTGGAGTTTGCATGTTCCCCACATGTATGTTACAGGTTTTCTCTGGGTGCTCCAGTTTCCTCCTACAGTTCAAACACATACTTGGGCCTGGTGTGAGCATGTGTCTATGTCTGCCTGCCATTGACTGGTGTCCCATCCAGAGTGTATCCCACCTTGCTCCCCCACGACACCGAACCGGACACAGCGGTTAGAAAATGGATGGAAAAGATCTGTAAAATGGCGCCGACAGGGAAGGCTGCCGTCCTGCGAGCTCCCATTCATCCTTGTCTATTTCTTTATTTTTTGTTGTTTTTCGTACTGCTAACTGCACATACTGTTTGCTCGGTGATTAGATATGACCGACAAACACTTATAGACATAAGTTTGAATATTGGCACAGTTCAGCATACTGCACTACCTGGACATAATATATTGCATACACCATGGACACATAGCAGCTCTATTCATATTGAGGTTTATTCCGTTACTAGTACATTATTATCTATTATCAGGTAACCTTATTTTTGTAACCTTAATTTTGTGATTTTTGTGATTCTTGAAATATTTCATTGCCAGCAATTATTGTTGTGCATTTGATAAATAAACTTTGATTTGATGTGGGTGGATATTAGTTTGCATCTCATAATATTATAATTGTCCCATCCAGGGTCTTTCAGACTTCATATCTCGTCTGCCAGCGCAGGCTCTGGCTCAACATGACTCTGTACTGGACTAAGTGTAATGGATGAAGTTACAGTTACTCTAAAACTTACACATCACTTCGGTCTTACCTCAAAGGGCTGGTCCAGTGTAAAAGGGACAGAGCACATACAAGGCTTTGTGCTGTTCCAGCTGTACGTCTGAGAACAGTTGAAGCAGGGACTAGACATGTCAATGCCAGTGTAATCAATCTGGAATATAGAAGGCACAGCTATTACTAGGGGATAATCAATCAGCTCTTAAGAGACAAGAAACTGGTTTACGTACTTGCAAGAATTCAATATGGAACAAAACCAGCTGTAATCACTTACAATAAGATCAGTATAACAATATTTTAGCATTGTTCACAATAATGAAGAGATTAAATGGACAAAAGGATTTGAAATTACACTTCTAAAGTATGCCTTTAAGAGAAGACAATCAGAGTGCAGTAATACACATAGCTCCACGTTCATTCTTCTGCAGAGCTGAAAGACATACAGAACTTGTTTTGTTACTGTAACCCACAGCATAAACCGTATGCCTAAAGTCTACACATGCCTGCAAACCAAATACTGTACCTGCTTTAACTATTTTAAATGCAAGGAAGGCACTGAACATAATGGCATTCTCGGCATTCTCGGATTGAACATAATGGCATTCTTTTACACGGACGAATGAGCCAACAGAAATTCAATTACCTTTGCATATGCCTTCTATGTTAAGATCAAATATTTACTTAACCTCACGAAAACTACCGTGGCAATACATCAGAGTGCAAACTGCACTAAATATACACCGGTCATACTGAAAGAGCAAAACTGATGTCCCTATACTGAACACACTTCGGCGCTTAAATCTGAAGAAACAACAGTGTTTAGAGTATGGCCATGAACGTTGCAACATTGAGTGCTAGTGCATTTCAACACACCAGAGACGCAGAAATACGTTTTCACACCCTTCATCATACCTAACAAAAAAAATCACTACATCGAGGTTGGGCGAATGCAAAAAAATACTGAGTTATATACAGTAATAAAAGTTCATTACTGAATAACACTGTAGAAGACTGGTGCCGAGACGATAATGTGTTGATATCCGAGTGTACACAGAACCGCAGGCTGTAGTGTATCATTCAGAGACCTGCAGCCCCGAAACCGCTACAGGTGATTCGCAGTACCCCCAAGACCCCCACGCAGTTACCCCTTAATACTGTGCTCATGCCAACACCGCCGTACCTCGAATTCTTTGATGTTGTTCGAAGTGACGAAGAGCCCGATGCCGATGGGGATGAAGATGAGACCAATGACGAAGAAAGCGGGCAGCACCGTGCCCGCGGTGAGGATGGGCTGCCAAGCGGGCAGCCTTTGCTGTTTGAAGGCTGTGTTGTCCGGCTTCTTGCTCTTGATAGCCCCACCGCCGCCAGGCCCGGAGGCCCCGGAGTGGTGACCGTCTTCCTCCTTTGCGTTATAGCTAGACGCCATCATGGCTAATATCCCGTTTCGCTGCACCACCAACACAGAAACCCGGAGAGAAGAATTACGAGGACGAGAGGCTGCGATCGGTGAAACACCGGCGCCCTAAACTACATGTATGTAGTTCGTTACGATGAAAAATTATATCAATAACGATACTCCTTTAACCTTTAAATTCTACCCCCCATCAAGGAAAAGCAGCAGCGACTAAATAAAACCAGGAAGCTTCTAAATCCCAAACACGTAACGTGCGTGATGACGTCTGTTAGTCGCAGAGCGGACGCGCGCTGTTCCTATGGGTGGTATTGGGGAAACTGAGAGTTAATCGCGCTAAAAACACTTTAGGTTTGTGTGCTTAATGTGTTCTACAACAATTTATTTTCTTAAGATAAATTTAGTAATAGAGTGCATGCAAATTTCTTATTGTCTCTCACACAGACTTTATTTGACTCTTATGTTTTTTCTTATGCAGAGCGCCAAAGCAATAATGCATCTTTGCGCTTTATGAAGTTACCAGTTTATGGCACATTGTGCAATTCCTTATTCGACTCGGGCGCTGGCAATCCGCCATTCAGCTTGTCGCTAAAGCGTTTAAGGAATACATCTGTGTGATAAAATGTCATTTTGCGACTGTGATCGATGCAAGAGTAGCAAAAAAAAATCCCAGGATAAAGTTCTTCCGTGCTTTCTCCTCTGGTACAGTATTATACATTATGAATAAACCTTTCATGCCGTGTATTTGAATCAAGTCCCTTTTACTGTTTGAGATTACAGAGGTTCTGTGCGTTTCAGTCAGTCAGTGTAGAACAATCCTTAAAGCTCGAGGTTGTGTCTGATTTATCTGCACTAATTCCAGAGCAAAAATACGCAATTCTTGTAACGCAGTGAACAATACTGTACAGATAATACTGCGAGTGCGAATTAAGTCTTGCTAGTGCATTACATAATTTTAAAGTAACAGTAAAGTCAATCTAAACTTTTTTATTGCTTTGCCACACTGTCAAGATTGAAATGTTGTGTCAAGATAACCACCTTATTTGTTTTTCATAAGTGGCCTCTTCAAGTTCAGAATTTCACAGTTCATGTGTTCGCTTGAATTTGTCAATGGAAATGGAAATTTTGAGTTTCCATTACATCTTCTACAGTGTTTGATGATCCTCCTATTTTGGTAATATCTGCAGTCATCTACAGTTTACTAACTGCAGGGTAGGAGTGTGCAGTAAGTGGATAGAGTTTTGGACTTGAACTGGTTGTTGGTTCAGATCCCCGGGAGAGACACTGCTGCTGTACCTTTGAGATTAATAATAATAATTAATTTCTGGACACTCCACTCAAAGTGGTTTACAGATAATGGGGACTCCCCTCCACCACCAACAATGTGCAGCCCCACCTGGATAATGTGATGACAGCCATTGTGCACCAGTACACTCACCACACATCAGCTATCAGTGGGGAGGAGAGCAGAGTGATGGAGCCAGTTCAGAGATCGGGTTTATTAGGAGGAAATGTGAATAGGACACCAGGGTAACACCCCACTCTTTTTGAGAAACGCCATGGGATTTTTAATGACCACAGAGAGTCAGGACCTCAGTTTAACGTCTCATCTGAAGGACGGCGACTTTTTACAGTATAGTGTCCCCGTCACTATACTGGGGCATTAGGACCCACATAGACTGCAGGGTGACACTAACACCTCTTCCGGCAGCAACCTTAGTTTTCCCCAGGAGGTCTCCCATCCAGGTACTGATCAGGCTCACACCTGCTGAGCTTCAGTGGGCTGCCAGTTGTGAGTTGAGTGGTGATATGGCTGCTGGCTAGATTGTTCCAGCTGTATATAGTGGTGCAAATATAAGTCTCAGGATAAACGCATCACCCAAAAACAACAATATAAACTCGATTACAATTATATCAACATATGTATAGAGTATATAGTGTAAATAGAAATGGTCCTCAAACAAGTTAAAGAAAATAATTATTAAAAATACTGAGACATACCAATTGGATCCTATGGACCCCACTGAAAACATATCCTACTGGCATGGTAATAATCAGGAACAGGTAAAGGTTTATTCCATGCTGAAAGGAAAAGACAGCGTTTTGACTGTGGAGCCTCCTTCAGGTGTCGGTTTTTTACCTTTCAGAGTGGAATAAACCTCTGCATGTTCCTTCACTGCCTACGCATGCGGACGCAGCTCTCCACTTGAACTTCATGGTAATAATCACGGGATGGGATGAGTACCATCGGGTCATGGCAATCCTATGGATAGTTCCCCTGTCACTATCCACAGTTTTCATGGCAGGATACAGAAATAGATTCCAGGCCTTTCTTCCACACAGATAGCGCGAGCGTTGTTGCCGTTGTCACGGAAACGTGATCCTCCGCCGCCAACACCACCCCACCCTGCTGCTGCCCAGTATGGGTTATTAGACAACCTGGCGCCCGACTTGGGACACGAACCCACTACCCTGAGATAGATAGATAATACTTTATTAATCCCGTAGGGAAATTGATGTGTTACAGCAGTCCAGACCAAGACAAGCAAAACAGACATCAGAATAGTTATAAAACAAAAGACAAACAAAATAAATAAATACATAGGTGAATTAGATTAGGGGGTCTCATGCTCTACCCACAGAGCTAGCTGGGGCTCTGGTAATAATCATACTGGCATGGTATGGTTTCAGGTCTGCTAAAATATTCCAGACTCTCTGGTAAAGACCATGCCTTTCTGGAATCTTCCATGCTGATCTGTGTTCTCTAATGAAGACTTTCTACACCAGCGGTTCTCCTTTCTGGCCCTGGGGGACATCTCCGCCCTTGGGGTTTTGCTCCGCCTGGTTGTTGGAGTGATTGCTCCATCTTAATCCCAGTTTTCATTCAAGACCTGTTTAAAATTTGCGTTCAGATCTCAAAAAGGCAAATAGGAATTTGTAATTGGCTCCAGCTTTATACTAATTAGTGAGTTCTAGAAGTGACCTCATTTCAAGTGTGTTTCCTTGAAAAATGACTGATTGGACAAGGAAAAACTCTCAGTCCATGAAGGAGTGTTTTGTATATTGATATATTATCATTCCCATGTGCATCTGTTCATTATAAAACAGTCACCTATTCAAGCTTGCATATTACTTTATGTATATATGAGCTTTTTAGTTAGAAATAAGGGAAAATGTTCTTACTCAGCAAGTTCAGGAGAGATTTCATAAAGTTTTGTAGAATGTTAGAAATAATACACTGAAGACTTTAGTGTTTTTGAAGCCGAGGCCTAAACAAGCAAGCAAATCAGTAACTGGCACCAGTTTGCACTGGTGTTAACCCAACTGAAGCCGAAACCACAGGACCAGAACCGATAACCAATGGTCTATACTGTTAAAGCATATGTGAGAAAAAAAGAGAACCAACAATAATAGAGAAACCAGGGTCAGTGTGTTGTGTTTGACATGGTTACTTGACAGGAAAACCATAATTTAAGGAGATTTCATCACCTGGCAGCAGAGGCCCTTGCTGGAAGGTTACTGTTGCTGACAACATGAAAAATCACAGCCTAATCAGCCTCCATCATTTTTGTTTACAGTGGAACAAGCCTTGCACGTCAACGTTCAGAGTTTAGAGTTGAATTTTTCGAGCACCACGCATTTGCAACCTGACATGCAGTCTCTTGGGGGACAATCGTAGTTTTCCTTAAGTTGTAATGATCTAAAGTGAAACAGGAGGAGGCTTAGACACCTGTGGTCAATTGATCCATTGTCGTACCACCCAGAATTAGGGTGAGAAGGAGGCCTCAGGCTGTATTTCTCATTGTAGCTGACATCACCGAGCCTGTGACGAGCGCGGCTCTGCCCCTGCCAGAATTTGATCATGGTCGCTAACAGGCAACGCCAGCTTCAGGGCCTCACGGTCACCGCCCGCCAGAGAGCAGTGAATTCTGCCTGGAAGAAAGGTCAGATTCCAGGGGTACCCAGGCTCCAAGAAGGTGATGTCACCTTCTGTAACAGGCTCAGTGCTGGTAATGAGTCCTGCTCCACACTCACTAAAGGCATTAGTGACATGGAGGATCCACATTCGGTCCAGTTTAGAAGCCACCAATAGACCATCAGAGCTCGTTAGACTGCAGACACAGGGAGATAAACAGCAACCTGACAAAGTGCCTCACAAAAATGTAGTATCATGCGTCTCAGGGTAAAAAGTCCATACTGGTGCCAAAGTTGCTCATTAAGACAGAAATTATTCTTATTTCTGTCTGCATCATTAAGCAGACTAGAGAGCACATACCACCCCCTTCGATCACACACCAGACTATTGCAGGGATTATGCTCCCCCCCCCCACAGCAACACAGTATCCCATTGATACAGCTGGGTGGACCGGAGCAGGCAGGTGATTTGATCAAGGACATAACAGCAGTGTCTGCAGTGTGGACTTGAACCAACCAACCTAGTCACCAACCATGAGCCCAAAGGCTTACCCTGTGCACAGCTCAGCCCCATGAATCCCAGGGTTGTTGACAAGGATATCTGAACGGTATCTAGTGAAATGTGCTCTGCCAAAAGCCAGGAGAACCAGCTCTGCTACTGAACACTTTATAATCAGGAGACCAGCACTGGTTGTGTTGAGCCCAAATCCGGTAACAGTTCATCCTTCATCGTTCTATTGATTGGGAGTCCTGGTGAGGTATATATTAATTACACAAGTAAAAATGTTTTCAATAAAGGTACTTTGGTAGTTATGGGTTGAAGGTTTCAGGTTCGTCAGATTTTGTTTCAGTAAATCACTTAATTCACCCCCCCAAAAAAAACTAAATGTTTTTTTTAGTTGTTCTTAAATTTAAGTTTTGTAAATTTTCAAAAGTTACAATTTAATAAGGATCTATACCACAACCCTGTACTGGATAAGACTATTAAAAAATATAGATTGATATTTTATGAATTAAGACCTGTCCAGAGATAGAGTTGGAGATAAATATATGGCATTGCTGCAGAGCAGGTTTATTATATGACTTATGTATATTTTGTTCTTAACATACTGTACAAGTCATTAATCTGATATGGAAACACTCTAAAAAGGAAGAAAATAAAAGTTCTAATTAGATTAAAATTAAAATACAGCTACATATTTGTCTTCCATTGAAGACAGTGGAATGTGTGCATGAATACCACACAAATGCATGTCTCTCTCCCCACACATACACAGACAATCCATTACTGTGGAACTGTTTGACTCTGCTTGCATCCAATAGCATTATTGGAGTATGATGGTTAATATTGGGTCTTTACACTTATGTACCTTAAATAAAAAATGATCCTAGATACAAGGTACTGTACATATAAATGTTTATTCATTACAACAAATATAACTCCAAGCAGTTCATTTTATTTAAAAAAAAATGTTTTATTTGTAGCTCCCCATCATGTGACTTTGTGTACGAAGAATTTGCAAGCAGGGTTCTCAACCCTGATCATTAGGGTGCACAGTCTAAATATGAAAAACAACTGTGGAACAAGGTTATCTCGTCAGTTCTAGCATAAATCATTAACGTTTTAGAAAATACCACTAAAACAAAGGTCACTAAGTTCCCCCTGTGCTGACAGAATTCTGCTGGCAAGGAAATTTTAATTTTAATAATTTCCTTTAAAGATTGCCAAGCACACCTATTCATTTGTGTGCCACCTAGTTGGTAAGTTGTTTTCGACAGCTGTACACAGACTCTATGAATGAGGTAAGGATGCTCTGTTTTCTAAATGCATTTGGATTCATATTTCCATGATGTCTTCCAGTGTCAAATTTACAAAGGTGATGTAATTTCATTTAGCCAGATTTATGATGATCTGCAACAATTCACATATGTTTACTAAATTATAAAATTCCTTAAACCAAAGGATGACAGTAACTAAACTGCAGTTCATCAATTTTATGAATTACATGACGTAATTTTAGTGTTACAGCTGTGTTGAGTTTCAGATACGCACTTATAATCCTAATTGACCCTGGGATGGTGGATCTGGATTAAGTCAAAATTTCCACTCACTCACTAATCTTAGATTGCAAACTTACTATTTGAAGGATGCAAATTTTCCCAGGCGGTTCCTACTTCTGTCCAATAGATGCTCAGCATCAAGTACTTAGTTTTACTTTTGTGAAGATTCTTATGATTTGTTTTAGTCAGTTTCCAGGTCTGGAAGTTAAAAACAAAAAAAGTTTTTATTTTCTCAAATATAGCCTTTGACTAGTAAAAATAAAATTAGGTTTTAGTAACATAAATGCACACTTCAAGCATTCGTGTGAGTCATTGAGGCTAGATTAAATTTCTTACAGTTCTTTTACAGGTTTTTTAGGAGATCCTGTTGATAAGTCTAGCCAATTTTAGACCTAAGGCTAATTTCTTTAAAAACAAATGTGTAACAGTCCATCTTTTGCTAAATGCTTACATTTTACTTGTTTTATTTGGACAAAGTTGATAAAATCACTATTTAATTATTTTACAGAAGGGAGAAAATACTGATAAGAATATGACAGAATACAAAGCAAGCCATATGGTATTTCCGATTTGTTTTATTACTAATACAGTACATGAGTCTACTGTAGGTCTGTGAGGCAATGTCTACAACATGTTGTATAACGTCTTCATAGTCTTCACAGAACTACTTGCGTAAAGAATTGCCTCCTATTCTCAGTTTTAAATTCAATATCCCTCAGTTTTTATTTGTGTCCTCCTTTCATGTCTCACTATTGATCTTCCAGAAGTCTTTGCTATCCGTTGAGGGTTCTGAATACAATAATTAAGTCCCTTCGTACTGTAGTATTTTTCATTTGCGACTTAAAATCAAAAGTTTCAGTTCTTTTAACCTGACAATGTCAGACATTCCTTTAAGTCTGGCAAGTCTCACTTAGACTGATTCCAGAGCAGTAATGTCTCTTTCATAACATGGGGACTAAAATTTTGCATAGTGTCCTAAATCAGGTCTCGTTATTACGTTGAACAGTTTAAAGATAGCATACTTTCATTTAAATTCTACACCTTTGAGTACTGTATGTAGCATAACATAACATTCTGTTTAGCATTTTATTGCTTCCCAGCATTGTCTGGAGGGGGAAAACGATTTGTCGATGTAAGCTCCCAAGTCTTTTTCATAAGCCACTTCTTAATGGTTCATTTATTTTTTACTCAGTTTATTTCTTGCTTCATACATGTAACACTGGAAATGTGCATTAGACGACATGTCATCTGTCAGTCCTGAATCATTTCTTCATGCATTTCTTTAGCAGCTTCTACAACTTCCTGTTATTTTGGGATCATCTGCAAACATGACCAGTTTACTAAATGTACTTACTAAGTCTTAAACCAGATACTTCTAATTCACTATTGATTACATTCAGCCTTCATCTGTACTCTCTCTTTTCTATCCATTGACCCCTTCTCAGACCAAACACATACATATCTATACCTTTGATATCTCCAGCCTGCCATTTAAGAAATATTATTTTACCTGGAACTCGATCAAAACCTTTTATAAAATCCAAATATACCATCTCACAAGCTCTTTTTGAATTAATTCCTACTGTTTCTTTTTGAAAGATGTGTAACAGGTTTTTTTAAGTAAGGCCTACATTTACTAAATACATACTGATCACCCTCTAGAATAATTCTACCATTGTGAGAATCTTTTAATGTATGTCTAATTCTCATCCTCTTATAAAACAGAATTAGAGCTGTCAGGACAAAAAGGATTCTCCATCCCTTATGTGCATGCATGCTACACTTGCAATTTTCCAGTCAATAGTAATGACCCCTCTGCTGAACCTCCCAAATGCTTGTCAAGGTTTTAAAATACATCCAACCATTTCCTTTAGTTCAGTTAACAGTGAAGATGTGTATGTTTTAAGAGCTCCAGCTTCTTAGTTCTGTCTATTCTAGGGCTGAGACCAATTACTGTAATACATACCCCCGCCTTTCTTCAGTTTGAGCCAGGTTGCCAATCACTTCCTCCGTAAGCACCAGGGTGAAATATTAATTTCCTCAATTAGTCTTTCCTTTCTCATCTTCTTGTAGTTTCATATCCCACTCTTGACCTTTCTACAGTATATTGGTTTGTGCTTGCAATTCCTTGTCCTCAGTTTCTTTAACTGGATCTTCCTTTAATTTCTCTAAACATTTTCTTCTTCCATTTTTATTTAATCCATTAATCCGTTTGGAGCACTGTTTTTTAGACTTTGATTTATTATAGTAATGAGTCTGCTCTGTGACTCTAGCAGAATATAGTTTAAATGTTGCCATCCGAATCTATTTTATTTCATTTTACTTCCCTAAAAACTCCTATCTCATTCCTTCACAGTCTTCAACTTGAAAACTTTGCTTGGGACCTTGCTTGTACTTTTTCAAAATGCATTTCAAAGATGATTTTCTTTCCAAACAAGTTCTCCGTTTCTTAACTGAATCCTGAATCAAACTACTAATTTCCATTTTGAATTGTATTCACAGTACCTACACAACTGGAGATTTTATGGTACCTGAAACATTTAATCAATTTCATGGAATCACAATTATTTTAACAGCTGGAAACAAAACTGTCTCATTAAGGCAATGATTCGTTTGAAGCAATAGAGTGCTAAGGTACAAATATATCTAGTAGGCTCAGTAGTGCTGTTGTAACGAACAGTTCTTTCCGGACCCTATGCGGACGACACAA